AGAGTAAAGCTTGTTTTCTGAATCCTAACATATATAAAAAGAAACAGTCACAATGTATTTCATGCCATTTCTCTTTTCATGATAATAGAATATTCTAGACATTGAACTTCGACTTATTTAACGTGATACCATTGCATTCAATCAAACAGGACAGTACTTATTGTAGTTTACCCTTTTCAGTCATAGAATTAAACCAACAATGGTCTTTCATTCCTATTCTCGATAACTTTTTCATTTCATGTGATATATAGCCAGACAATTCGATTTATCAACTTGGCAATAATAGTCAGTTTGTCTTTAGTTTCATTTCGGATTTATGCAGTGCTAAAACTACCTGAGAAATGACCCTTGAGACAGGTCGAAATTATAGTTGTAGTTTTTCTTAAATATAATACACACCCTTCTTTTTCGAGTTAGATCAATTCAAACAGATGCTTGCCACTTGATAAGATCTTCGGAAAAATCGAAATACTAAATAGTATTATGGTAACTTCTACATCCTTAAGCAAGGACGAAACTAGTCGTGTGATGCTTTCAATATGAAAATTTCTTAATAATAATTTAATATTGTTACTTGGATTTTAGTACGTATTTATCCTTAACTTCTTCAAAATTGGAGAGTTCTGGGTATGTGCACCAATAGGATGTAAACATGCCAAAAGAGTCCCTTGAGCAAGGTCGAAATGCGTCGTGTGATGCTCTCAATCTCAAAATTCCTTTATAATAAAGTAATATTATTCCGGATTTTGTTATTATGAATTGGTTCTGAACTTCTTCAAATTATTGGAGAGTTTGGAATTAATATGTAATTATAGATTGTAAACATACCTGATGATAGACCCTTAAGCAAGGTCGAAACGCGTCGTGTGATGCTCTCAATCTCAAAATTCCTTCATAATAAAGCAAGGACGAGACGTCGTGTGATGCTTTGAATTTCAACTTTATATTTATTATTATTTAATTATCGAAACGCGTCGTGTGATGCTTTGAACTTCAACTCTTATATTTAAAAAATTTTATAGTATTATGTATTGATTCAATAACTTAGGTTTTTGATCTCTTATACTGATACTTAGGCCACTTGATAAGATTGAGTCAGAAATATCGAAATAACTTGGTTATCGTGGTAACTATTACACACCCACACCCTGGACCAACTTATGTTCCACCATATCAAATGTATGTCTCATCATCATATGCATCCATGAATGAGATCATTCAAAAACAATATAAATCATTACAACATGATTTAAATATTCTATTTGCTAAATGTGAAGTAAATGTGGCTCTATCTACGTTTATAAGAAACGAAATTAAAAAATTATTTATCAGAATCTTTTCTATTTCATTACCAAATTCTCTTCGTGAACGTGCTCTCTGTGAAAAACAATTGGTACAATCTATTCGTGAACATTTAAAAGCATATGATTTAATCTTACGACGTACAGCTGATCAACGAAATGTTTTCTATCTTGCCAATAAAAATGAATTTGAAGAGAAAACAAATGAATATATGACTAAAACGGATATTTTTGAATTGTGTCATAGTATTGATGAGAAAAATCTTCAAGTTACACGTGACTATCTAACAACAAAAATGAAATCGATGAATGAACAATTACAAACGATTTTTTGTGGTAAACAATATAAAGATATACAAAAAAAATTATATATTACTATCGATAAAGTAGAATTACCCTATTTATACTTTTTACCTGATGTATCACTAGTAAGATATTGTTTAATTCTTTTTTTTTTAAACTAATCGAATTAGTTATGATTTCTATTGATTTGATTAGAAATCAAATGAACTATCCGTACAACCCATTGTAGTAACACAACACAGTGCCACAGTTCGATTAGCTCACTTTTTAGATCAGCTATTACGACCTATTATTCAACGACAACTTGAATCGTTGACATTTGAGAATGGAGCTGATTTTATTCGAAAGTTAAATAATTATATAGAACAACCTGGATATCATCTTCGTTCAACCACCAATTTTGTAACTATCACCATTTCAATTTTTTATTCAATAGTGGATCATGATACAATGCTTCTTGCACTTCAAGATTTCTTAATGGATCCTTGCCGGATGCCAACCATTGAAAATATATCGATTGGTAAAATTTTTCGGTTAACTAATTTATTTCTACGTCATAATCGATTTTATTATGATCATAAAATCTATCGTTTTATCAAAGGTAGTCCAACAAGTTTTCCAGTCACAGAAACCTTAGCAACAATGTATATACTACCATGGTTAAAATCATTGTTTAGACAACCTGTATTAGAAAAAGAATTTTATGGCCGGTAAGTTTTGATTCTTTCTTTCTTTTTCTTTTTGCCGTACAAATGAAACATGTCTTGTGTATCATTGGAATATTTGAGATATAGAAACTAATTCTTTTTAACATGGAACAAAACTAATACTGAATTTTTTCAAATGATTAAAATGATTCGTAATCAATCTATGGATATTCATCTTGATATCAAAATTGATTCTAATGTTCAATTTTTACATGCTTATATTGAAAATCAAAATGGTACTTTCTATAGTCGTGTAGATCATGATTCAATGATAAGACAAAAATATACTTTACCTTATGTCATTAGTACTTCAAAAATTGCACATAGTCATTGGCTTCGATCATCTCTCATTCAAGCAGTGCGTTATTGTACTTTGGTGGATCATTTTAATCAAGAACGCATCTATCTCGAGATGACTTGTTTAGCAAATGATTATTCATTAGAATTTATTGAAAAACGTATCAATCATTTTTTTACTCATTTTGATGCTATCTCTTTACGTTCAGTTTTGGATCAACAAGTTTATAAGAAACTTCGTCTTCATTTATTTAATTTTATTAGTGAACAACGACGTATCTTGAAAGTTAATCGAGAATTACAACCTAAGAAGCAACGTTTTCGATTATCTTATTTATATGAATTTGGTCCGAAACGCAAATTTAATCAAGAATTACAGAACATTTTATTGACCAGTTTAAATCCATCGAATCCATCGTCAAATATCAATAAAATATGCGTACGATTGACGACCAAACTACAACATTCATTAAATGCATTATTAAGTGAACAAAAACCATTTCATCCTTTATTACATGAAAAGAGGATCTGAGATTTTGAAGACATTTTTCTTTTCTTATTATTGTCTATCCATACAATGATATTTGTGCATGGAAGATATCGATAGATATCATTGGTCATGTTTCGTAGTAATATTCAATTATTATTTTGAATTTGATCAATCTTTTTAATTCATTTTGTTGAAATCTCTTTTCGTCGCTTATTCTATGTTCCATTCATTCTATGTTTTGTTTCTATTGCTTTCAGATATATATGCATATTATCTTCACTATTAAGAATACTCACTCTATAACAAGAACAACATACCCTAAACATTGTTCATAAGAAGAATACTATACTTTGTGTTCTACACCTCTTTCAATTGAAAGAAAAAAAAAAAACTTTGTTCAATAAATAATGAAAGTCAATCCACGTTTAGTTCCAAACCATTTGGCATCCTCTCATCAACATCCTAGTAAGTGATATAAAACTTGTTAAGTACAGTTCAATGTCAAAGACTGATTATCGTTTTAGAAAAAACCATTCATAAGAATGCATCCCAATGCATTGCTCTGGAGCAAACACCAACTTCATCGGACCATGAATCTTTACCTTCCATCGACTATGTCGATGCTTCATCCATCTCAAGAACTAAATCGTCACAATCATCCTATTCTTCAAATATGTCATTATCTGCATTACGATCTGTCCCCTCGTCATCTTCTCTATTAGAAGAACAAAAACAATATCATGGCATGAGCAAACGAATGTCTTCCCACCAATCCTCAACATCAATGTCATTTACCAGCATTCATCAAAGTCAGATCAATCGCAGTAAAACATGCCTTTTACGTGAAGCAAAAATCTTACCAGATCCCTATTTTGAATTTTATGGACGATGCAAAAAACAATGCAACCATTCGCTGAAACAGTTGGTGGACGAACCACGTTCTTTCGTTCGTTGCGCAGCCAACTCAACGAAATCGTACTTGATGAATGATATTAAATATTCATTTTTTTTTGTTTTCCTGGTCTCTTTCTTCGATGTAGTTCAATGCTTATGCATCATTATTCTTACTCATTATCTTTCTATTTCTATTTCTATTTCTATGTGTTTACTTTGATTAGATGTTGTTAATGAAATATCGTGTTCGAACGAGTGATCGAATAAAGAATTCACTTTTCTGTTTCTTTTACTTGTAGATATCACTGATCAAAGAGTCATCGGTTCGTTTGTTCTTCTTTTTTTCAAAAAAAAAACGATGTCGAACTGGTTACAACAACAAGACAAACAAGACATATTCAGTGGTATTCAATACACAACTTTTACTTCTTGCTGGAAGTCATTTTCTTATGAGTTTTAGATGAGTCTGGTCGAACACATGAAAGTGATACGTCCTATCATCCATCATTAATTCAAGTAAATAACAAAGAAATTTATAAAATCAACTCATTTTCTTATCTCCTCTTTGAATAGTCATCTTCCATGTCCAATAATACTCGGACATCATCGTTGACAACAAGTGAAAATGAAGATAAAATTTATTATGAACAATTTCAAACAACAGATGTAATGGTTAATTTATCTGATTGTATGCAATGCTATGTGAAAATTCCACGATGTGAGGTAAAAACTTCATGTGATAAAAAGAAAACGTTGATTTTTCTCTTCAAATCATTGAACTGTAGATCAATGAACAAGTACATTGTTCGAATCTTATTCCAGAAAAAGAACTTGTCGGTCAAGTACAAGAATTACGAGAAGAACAGGAAATCGAAACACCAACACAACCAAATCAAACAATATCAGCATATATCGAAGAAGAAAACTATGATGAAGGATTAGATGTGGAACTTTTTAATCCAATGAACACGATGATTATTATTGATTTGCCATGGCCATCATCATCAGAAAGAAATCATGGAAAATGATCTAGTTCATAACACTATTATTCGTAGTGTTCATATTATTTTTTGAACTTTTTTTTTTATCATGATAAACTTACTCTAATAGTGTAGAGAACAAGAGTATCGCAATTGTTGTTCTATCTTATTATCTTTTTTCATTTGTTACGCTTCTTCTATTTGCTGTTTAGATAGTAGTCTAGAAGAGATTTTTTACTCTACATATTTTATATTAGGTATTTCAGCTTTAATCAAGCTGCTCTACCAAGTCTTGTTTTTTGTTTGTTTCTAGATACAAATATTCACCATGAATATGAATACAGATGATAATAGAGAATTAATCAAAATGTCAAATTCAAATACTCAAGCTGGTTGGTATGAACTACTTCCACAAACACAAATCCTCACTGAACAAGAACAAGACTTCAAAAACAAGAAGAAGCAATGGAAGAAGAAAAAATGTCATGGCAACCGGCGACTTCAACGTTTCAGAAAGCGATGTCGAGCACGAAAAATGAATGATCAAACAATAAAAATGTTATTGACAATGCATCAAATAAGTAATTCCATTCAGAAAACTAATCAAAAAATAGACAATGATAAAGACATGGATGATCCTTTTACAATGAATATCAACAATGAATATCAGGTACGATGAAATTATGAATGAAATTGATCATGATTTTTATTTTTCTATAGAATCAATTCAATAGGTCACCATCTACAAGAACATGTCAAATGAGTACAGATCATTGGAAACAATCATGCAAACTCTTACCAAAGTATAAGAACTTGTCTTATCGTAAATTCAAACATTTACTTTCCAACGCTATACCTATTTATCGTAATCGAATTCAACAATGTTTAGCAAGTATGGAAATGTTACAATTCGTTCAACAACTTGCTGTATTCATGTGTACCTACTTTCAATTGAAAATCGAAGAGGACTATTGGAATTACATTGCCAATTTGAGCATGCCTGCAGTGACTTGGTTATCAAAAGTATCTAAAGATGTAACACAACAAAATTCTATTAATTGGGATCATACTAAAACAAAAATAAATATTCAATATCGACAAAACATCATTCAAAATAAGTTACATCAAACAGAAATTGATTTATACAATCATTTACAACAATATTCATCAAGTTTAAGCATGAACAATAAACTGCCTTTTGAACAATCGATAAATATCATACACAATGCTCTCCTTGTTCTCATACAAAAGGATTTACATTGTTTCAGTACCAATTTTGAACAGAAGAAAATCTTATTATCATATGATATCAATTATGCACATCTTGTCAAATCATTCTATGATTTAAATCCAATACAAGAACAGGTACATATGTTCTTTAGACAACATTTCTCTTCTATTTGCTTCTAATAGATTGATTCTGTTCAATCTATTTGGCGATCAAAATTAAAAGCATGTAAAAAGATAATCACACAACAAAAGAAACAGTCGTCAATGAGCGATCAAGTTATGGTTCAAAGAATAATTCAAGGCAATAGTTCAATAATCAAAACGACGCAACATAAACTCGACATTGATGGTACTAATCAAGAAAATCAATTATCATCAATGGAATACTTTGCTTCTTCAATACGTGCTATTATTAAAGCTCGTCTCAACAATATCGAACAACGTACTCAACAAATTATAAAATTCATCTATGCTTCGACTCAATCATAACGATCTATTCTCTATTCTATATGCCACTGACTCTATCACTCTATTTAATTGAATTTTAACCAATAATTGTAGAATGTAGTTATATTTTAATACATCATTCATTTTCTTTTGTCATGTTTCACAGTTTGTGTTTCGGATAGTATCCACATCTATCTTTCTATGTTTGTTTTTCATCTTTTCATCCTAGATATCATTTTCAGAATTCTATCTTTGTTTTGTTGTTATCCTTTTGGATCTCAAGGGACAATGACAACGTCAAATCTCAATTCTACTAAAACTCTGAAATGTTCAATCGAATCCATTCTATCGAAAACGATTGGCAGTGATTTTCAATCCACACCTGACTATCTTTGTGTGAAAAATCAATCATTTGAAAAAAAACTCCGAACTATCTTTCCATCCACGATCAATTTGGACGAATTAAGAGATATTGCTATTCTCATGCATAAAATTATATCCATTGAAATAGTACAATATCTCTGGATCGTCTATCGAAAATCAGGTATAGAAGAACTTCAATCCAAATTACCAATACATCTATCAGATACTCAACTTTGGCCAAAAGAAGTTCATTTATTCATGAAACAATTTCAAATTGATCATAACCATGAAGAGAATACTTGTTTAACTTTCATCCATCAATGTTTACAAGAATTCAATACTACAAGTGAATATTATCGACGTGAATTAAATGTCAAAACAAGTCGTCTCTCTGGTTATAGTCGTAGTATTGACTATATCATTGAAAAGTTTGTACAACAAGGACTTCAATCTTTACGTATAGAAATCAATGAACAAATTGCCATAGTTCAATATCATTATACCAATAAAATATTTCAACAAGTTTATCGTACTCAGAATCCGAATGAGAATCAAGTAAGCTTCTTTTATAGATCCTTCTTATTCTTTCTTACTTACTATTATTGTATTCGAGATACATTTAATGAAACATTTATGTAAACTCAAATATAATCATGAAACAACGACACATGAAGTCAATTTTTTGAAAGAAAAAATATCTTCACATCTAGTTTTACATTCATTTGAACGTACATCTATAGGAAAATCACCATTAATCGATCGTATTTGCGAGTCAAGAACTCGACACGAATTATACCAACAATACAAGAAGGTAGTTGAACAAGTACGAAACAATATCATGACTGCTTGTATGGAATGTGCTGAAGGACAAAAACAACAATGTCAAAAAGAATATACTCTGGCAATGAAAGAAATAGAAGACACTCAAAAATCATTTTCATCCAATCACCCATTCACTGAAGCGATGTGGAATCTAATTCAACAACGTTTAATCAATATTAGCACTCACATCCAGTGTATTTACAAGTTAAAAAGGCAACTATTTCGTCTCAAATCGAATATTCAATAACTCTTCTTTTTGTTTCTTTTTATCTTTTGTTGACATTCTATGTCTTTGTCATATGGATATGTTATCTGGGAGTAACAAAGATTAGGAATTCTTTGTAGTACTTTCATATTAATCAATTGTTTTTTTTTTCTTTGATTTTTGCTTTTTAGATAAAGGGGAAATTCTTCTATGATGCATAGTCAATCCAAGAATAATCTATCCAATAGACGATCTGTCAATATTCCACGACCCTTATGGGAACCTCAACCGTTGACATCGAGAATAACAATGACTAGACTACGATTGCCACAGATTTCATTAGTGAAGAAGAAGAAGAAAAGGCGAACGAAACGATGTCATGGTAATCGAAAATTACGACGTTTCAAAAAGAAATGGCGTCGACGCGGAATGAATGAAGAAGAAATAAAGAAATTGATCGATGATTATAATCGAAAGAAAAATGAAATTCAAATCAAAGAAATATCGGATAATAACAATGATCAACCAGAAAAAACAGTTAAGACAACAACAGAGAATTTACAAGCAAGAAAGAAAAAATCGAATAAACGTAAACGAATGGTGAATTCCATTAGTTCACGATCGATCACAGAACAATTACCGAAGAAGATCAAGAAGAAAAATATGAACATCAATTTGACTACAATAAAGTCAAATTATCGGTTACCTAAATATTTTTGTTTACTCAAAAAGTGAGTACACTCTAGAATCGGTCAGTATGTCCGTCCGGCTGTTTACACGATAACTTTCGAAAGAAGAGTCCGATCATGATGAAATTTTCTATACAGTTCAGTCTTTACAATATCTCGGTCGAGTTCGAAGATGAGAAGGATCGGCTGAACCGTTCCTGAGTTATTGCAAAAATACCCATTTTTCCCTATAGCTTCCTATGAAAAAATCGACCCATCACCACTTTCGTAAAAGACTTTTCCTATCATAGTCAATTAAAACCTCAACTATTATATACCATTCGATAGAGAATTTTACGAGCTACAAAATGGTATATAAAACATGAGGAAACAGGAAGATTATCTCACCCATCGCAAAGATAAATAATCGCAAATCCGTTCTGTTCTTGTCCACGCTCTCTAACTGATCCACAATTAGAGCACTATCTTCCGATAAGCGGTGATGTTTGAAGGTTTTCTGGAATGGAGAACTCGAATCCGTACTCCACTTGTTTCGAAACCCTATTGGTTGAGCACTGACCAATAGATATCAAGTTATAGAAAAAACGACTTTCTGATGGTACATTAAGGCGGAGAGTTCAAATCTGTGCTGTATTCGCCCCTGATCCTATTTGGTGAGCAGTAGTCAATAGAATTCAAGTGTTTATAGAAAAGGTTTGCCAAGGTAATTTGTATATCCACGCATTCTAGAGTGACGGATTTGTCTCATTCACTTTTTGAAGTACACATAACTCTCGGATTTAAGTCCGAGGTTTCCACATTTATTTAGGAATGAGAAAGACTTTTTACGAAAAAAATTTTTTTCTATAAGGGTTGACCGAAGGTAATCGGGTCGGGGAATCCAAATCCATGATTAGTTTTTTGAAATTTTGCTTTTTGCTTTTTTAGGAGAGAGAAAGACTTTTTTACGAAAAAAATTTTTCTTTATAAAGTTTCACCAAAGGTAATCGGGATCGAGGAATTCAAATCTGCAATTAGTTTTTAAAAATTTCGCATCGAAGTTTTTTGGAAAAAAGTGATTTTTTATAAAGTTTGACCAAAGGTTTTTGGGATAGAGGAATTCAAATCTGTTATTAGTTTTTAAAAATTTCGTGTCGAATTTTTTTGTAAAAAGCATATTTTTACAAAAAACTTGTTAGTGTACTCAAAAAGTGAGTACACTACTAAAATCGGTCTGTGTGTCCGTCCGGCCGTCCGGCCGTTTACACGATAACTTTCGAAAGGAGAGTCAGATTGCGATGAAATTTTCTACACAG